AAAAAAAAAAGACAAGATTGTGGAAATGGTTAACTGAAAAATGACGAAGATAGGCGAAAAGAGTTTTCTAAAACTCTAAATGGCAAAATGTATGGTCCTAGACTTAAGTCCAAGCAACCTCAATATGGTATTGTTCTTTATGTTTGGGTAAAAAGATGCAATGGACATAATCTATAAGAATTCATTATTTGTACCTTTGGATTGACAGTTACGTATAAAATAGCATTTATTTTACTCGCATTTTACAAACTTTTACTTCTTAGAAGTTTACTTTTAAAGGATGCACAAATTTGTAGAAGTTAATAGAGTGGATCTGTGCATTAAGCGCATATAAATTTAGAAAATAATATCTACAATCATTACTTTACTTACGAAAATGTTTGCTTGTAAGCTGATATTAGACAGAATATTTCTTTAATTGCAAAAGAAGAATCTTTTAAATTTACAACCATGTTAGAATACGATTGCTGTAATTAAATTTTCAAGCAAGATACTGTAATTTTCAATCATTTCAATCAAATTTATCAAAATAAATTTATGTATCTATCGGGGTTTTGTCAAAAAATTATTAAATATTAATGATTTTTAAACAAATATACAACAGCTGTTACTAATAAAATAAAAATTTTACATTGCTCAGAATTAAATAGTAATAAAGGATAATTATTAAAATCAAACAAGCTTTAATTACAAAACAAACGAATGTGCAGAAATTGCACTGAAGGTTTAGCATATGCACTTAAAAAACAATTACTTCGTTTATAAATTGAATAATGCTAAAATACTATTGCCAATGCTAACGTATGAACAAAATTTTAAAAGAAGGAAGTTGCCACATTTTTGTTCTTGAAGATAAAATTATGTAAGAATGTGTCGTCTTTAGCAGAAATGAACATTTTCATATCGTTAAGTTCAAGCGTCAATGAGATCAAATGTCATTCTTCTAAGAAGGTATTTAGGTTTAAGCTTTCAGAATCTAAAGGCACAGAGATAGCGCTCAACTCTCTGGGAAGGATGTCTCAGAAAGTCAGATTGAATTCAAGCAAGTGTGCTGCATGATCTATTCTAACACTATCCAATATATTAATTTAAAGCTGATATCAGTGATGTCAAGCATCATCTCCCCATGAACAAAATCTGGGCCACAGTACCCATGGACAGTCTCTTTGGAGACACAAAATCTCATCTGTGTACTTCTTCGCAGTTACAGGTCATTTCCTATAAATATGGAGTTCAGTGCGACCGTTTTTCATCATTCTTGCCGATTAAAACCCTACAACTGTCTCTGATGGATATGCAACAAGACTAGGATGTCATATACGGCCGGGATACACGTGGTCGCCAAATGTGGCAATATTTTGTATTGGATGGTTTTGTTGAGATTTTGTTTGTATAGCAACCCTTTTTACGTGGAAATGTTTGTGAGGAATGTGATTGTATTTAGTCGTGATGGTTGTTTGGTGATATTTTGAATAATGGTATAAGTTGTGGAGAGATATCAGCCACGTGTTTAAGAGTGTATTCAAGCTAGATTTAGTTCGAGAAGATATGTTTTTGGAGTTATTACTGAAGCATTTGTTCATGGTTGTCTTTATGCTGACAGAAGTGTATTTTTGCAGTTTTAATGAAATACAAGATTTTTGAAGCCGATCTTGATATGTGAGAAGTGCGGGTTTGATATGAAGATTCAGAAGAAAAATTGTGTTTTTGAGGGATTTGTGTGGATTTGCAGAAAAATTGTTGAGGGTTAAAGAATGTGGTTCTCAACGAAGTTGAAGATTTGGATCCTGGTTCTTCTGAAGTTGACTTCAGAAGAAATTTTTATGGTAACGTTAGAAATTTTGAATCGTAGAAAGATCTCTGAGATAATGAAGGCATGGCATTTTGGTTCACATGCTTTGTACGATTGGCATTAGTTTTATTAATGAAAGTATACTGTGTTATATATGTGATATGTCTGTCCTTACAAGTTTTTGTTTGAAATTAATATTTTGCTTTTTTAGGAACTATTTTGAATGGTAAGTGAATTTACTTTTTTTGTTTTAATTTTGTAGAGAATTATTTTAGTTGTAGCATTTCTTTAATTTTGTGTTGCTATTTTTTTATTTTTGAATTTATTTCTGTTGAAATTGTTTTTAATTTATTGATGTTATTTTAGTTTAAATTTGTCGTCAAACATTTTTGGCGGGAAACTTCACGCTTTTCTTAATCTAAATTTTTTGTTTTTTCCTCGAAATTTTAGCGTAAATCGTGTGCAAAAACGTACTTTTTGCACATGCGAAAACCGCGTTTTTTCAGGAATTTTAGGCTTTAAGTTTGAAATGTAAATACAAAATTTAGATAAGTAAAACTGTGGAGTTTCTCGCCAACGCGGTCCGTATATGACAGTAGTTCCGCGACTAGAGACTATGTTTTCCACTTGAAATTATGTTTTAGGTTCTGTACACTTGAAATTATGTTTGGAATCATTGTTTAACCCTTTGCACTCGGGGGCTTTTTCGCGCGGCGCACCAGCAACTCGAGACGTTCCCAGCCTTTTTGACACATTTTTTACCAGTAACTTAAAATCATTACAAACACAAATTGATGTACAAAATTTTTATATTTTAACATTTTACATATCTTTACACCTTTATAAACATAATTTTTTAAATATTAGTCTCTGTAATGTTTCTGTTTCCATTTTAGGTAACAATTCCTAAGATGCATGCCCGGCTTGTCGGGGTAAGCATTACAATAATATGTTGTTTGATGCCTTTTCCGAGTTCATTTCTCCGAGAACATACTTTGTGATATATAAGAAAAGATATGATTTGAGATAAGAAAATATTATCTCCATTTAAAGGGATATCATTTTACACTCCATAAGATTATACAGAAAGAGAGTAGGAACCCCTTTCGAAGAAACTAAATGTAAACAGTTATTGACGCGCATCGAGTTTCCGCATCAAACCAAGTGATATTCATCTCTGGAGTGAGATCAAATCACATGGTGAGTGAGAGTCACCTCTCGAGTTGCGGCATCAAATCACATGATGAGTGAGAGCCGCCTCTCGAGTGCAAAGAGTTAATCTGAACCTGGACTGCCCCACGTTCTGTTCTCAACCCCAGCCATCTTGGTTCATTGACGGCAGGGACGACATCCTCTCAAACAGGACTTAATTACAAGCATAGCGAAAAAGATAGCCGCCTAAGGATCTCCTACACCCTCTCTTTTGAAAAGTGCAGAAAGCGGGACATAGGGCAGTGGTCTCCTCACGTAGAAACATCATTTGTGAAACCATCGCTAAGGGAGCAACAGCTTTTCGAGCATTAGTGGATGCTAAGAGATTCCCAATACTCTCAGCAGCATAACGACCTTTTTATTCCAGCAGAGAGATGTTGTAGTTACTCTTGGACGAATTCGACCAGCAAGGTAGCCAATTATTTTTATGCTTAAAAATGGTTCCAGATTCTGCGATTCCTCTTTTAGGATAATCCTGCTGGCTGGAGTCATCAAACTTTGCGTAAATCGTTTAGAGCAGGCTTTCTCAACCGGTGGTACGCAAGGAAAAAGTAGGTGGTATGCAAAGAAGCAAAGTATTTTTAACTATTAAATTCAAAAATTAAAAGCCCAACATCCTGATTGAAGTTCTTCTCTAACACATTTATGCGATCTGAGCTTTGTTCAAGAGTGGTGGTGGTAGTAGTACTTTGTAGTGGCGGTAAAAGTTTTCAATTTTTGTTTAGATGGTATGCGTTAGTCAAAAGGGTGAGAACCGCTGGTCTAGAGTTTATCGGTCATTCGTTAGATTTTCTTTCATCCAGTATGTATCTTTCGGATATGTCTTAACAATATCTAACTGTTTTAGACTTGCAACTTTACATTTATTCAGTATATAGTTTTTATGATTTGCCTTCATTCACCTTCTTTGTATATTCTTTACGAAAATACATATGCAGTCATAGGCTTTTGCATTCGATGCATTCAGTTAGCATAAATAATTTCACTAGCAGAAAGTTTAATCTGTCTATGTTAAAAAATTAGTGTCACTTTTACAATTATCCTCTAATTTTGAACATTAATACATATAACAAGAACGTAACTACTTAAATTGGATTTTTGATTTTATTCAAATTTTTCTTCTCGTGAAAAAAAATATATCTTCCTTTTGCGCGATTTGGATTGAAACCGTTAACTGATTTTAAGTAACGAATTGTAATTTTTGGTAAAAGCATGTAACTGCATGCAAAGAGCGGTTAATAAAATACCATTTGTAAAATAAAAAGAGAGGGGGCTAGATGTTTTAAAAAATACAGTTAAAAATATTTTATTCGAACTGTAGAGTAATAAAAGCAAAATGATTACTTTGATAATAAGTACTTTATAACAATTTGAGCAATAGTACTTATAATTTGTATTGTGATTTGTATATGATAAGTTAACGATTATTTTGTTCAATAAGTATTTACCTTGCATTAATACACTAAATATGTAATAACATATGTCAAGAAGCCTAGAGATAGAATATACTATATTTTTGGTCTATAATAATTGCCCATTTTGCCATAAAATTATAAAGTTATTACACAATTAATCTGAAATATTAAAAATTACAGGATTAGTATACCTTAGATTTCAGCAGTGAGTTTTACGAAAGATTTATACCGACTTAGAAAATATAAATAAGTTAAAAACTATACTTACTGTCTAGCTTATGATTACCCATAATGGTATCAAATGATTCAGTTTCTCTTAATTTCTAGAATTTGTATAACAAGGTATTTAAATTTTTCTTACAAGGCAATAATTCAAATTCATATAGAGTTCCTTGAGTTTTTCAGCGTTCATCGCTGTTCGGAAAACAATTTTATAAATATATTCCTGTATGTTAGTTTAAATAATATCTATAAAATAGCGTATCAAAGAATAAACAGTCTTTTAGTTTCCGTTCTTTATATATCTGAGCTAAATAATAGTTAGTCAAAAATTATTTAGAAACCAGATAAGAAATATAAAATGCAGAGTAGATATCACTGTTTATTCACATAATATAACAATAATTTACATAGTATTTACAATAAGACCTTTCCATAGCCAAGCTTTCCAAGACCAAGAAGACCAGATCCGTAATGAAGTCCATGACCAGCAAGTCCGGTAGTATAAGCTAGACCATGTCCGGTGTATGCAGTTCCATAGAGTCCATGTCCAAGACCAGTGGCGTATGTTAATCCATGGCCAGCAAGTCCATGAGCAGCAAGTCCGTGGCCAGCAAGACCGTGAGCAGCAAGTCCATGACCAGCAAGTCCGTGACCAGCAAGTCCATGTCCTAAAAGACCAGAATAAGCTAATGGAGCTGCTCCGAAAAGACCGGTGTGACTAAGTACAGGAGCAACTGGTACAGTGCGGGTGACTGTGGTGGAGGTGACTACAGGAGCGGCTTTAGCTACAGTGGTGTAAGCGATTGGTGCATGAGCGACAGCGACAGGTGCATGAGCGACGGCAACTGGAGCAGCAGCATGTGTCACGACAGTCTTTGAAACTACTGGGGCAGCGACGACAGCTTTGGAAAGAAGAGGAGCAGTGACAAATGTCTTAGAAAGGACGGGTGCAGCAGGGGCTTTGATGGCTAGTCCATGTCCGTAGACAGCAGGAGCGATGAGTCCGGTAGCACGGACAGCTACAAGAGCTGCGCAAAAGAAAGCAACCTAAAAGAAAAATATTCTATGTATAGATTGAGATGAAAATGAGTTTTTTTTTTTCCTTAAGTATGAGCGTTGTGCAAGATATGCTGTTTAGGGAAGTTTTGATATGATCATCATGACTCGATGTTTCTAAACATAATAATTTAATTATTATACTTTTAGTAGATAAAATTATGCAGTATATATTGGAATAAATAGGTAATCTCTTTATAAAGCTGAGTTAGGAAGGAAAGTTAATTTGTGACCGCCCTTGAGTTATTATTTTATCTTGACAAAAATCAGAGAATTTGTCCAATCACAAAACTATAAAACCTCTGTGACTGAATCATAGTTATTGCAGCGGTATTAAAATTAATCGCAAACAAAGGCAATGTGATCGAACACTTTACTAATGAGTCCAACTCATTTAGAACAAATTTTCACATTGTTAATTAAACAAGTTCACATTCAACGGAATGGACTTATGAAGATTAATTAAATATAATAATTACTCTATTGAATACTTTATGAAGGTAAGCTACGTTTGATGCAATTTGGTAGGTATGAGTACAGTGACAGCTAAAAAAAGCTAATATCGATATCAGAAAGAGAAAGGAATGTGGATGTGTGTCAGCAATTAGTACTGTAAGTTGTAATTGTTGACCTGAGATGGAATATATTAGTGGTAACTAACATAGATTAAGTTATTTTTGTTACTTTGTTATGAGCTTGTAATCCTTCCTTTATAATATTTTAAAAAGATTATTTAATTTAAAATATATATTTCTCACTAATTTGCACAATAATTAATAATTAAATTATTAAATTAAGATTTGAATGTATTAAGAAATACACTATCTGAGGCTAGTAGGATTTTATACGATATTAGTCGCGTTAAATATCGTAAATTATTAAATTAAGATTTGAATGTATTAAGAAATACACTATCTGAGGCTAGTAGGATTTTATACGATATTAGTTGCGTTAAATATCGTGTGATTATTTTCTTGTCAGTGCAAAGTTTTATTGCTCTATGTGCATTGTTAATATTAAAATTCAAACTAGCTAAGGACTGATTTTCAAAAACAGATATCAATTTTTAACATCAGAAGAGCAAAAAAATTTAACTTCAGGTATTAATTTTTATTTTTTTAAATCTTCGATCAAATTAGCGAAGAGGATAGGTTTGATAACAAAGCGTTTTTGATTACCAAAAAAAAAAAATAATAATAATTTAAGAATTTGCCATTATAAATAAAGTTCTGTAATTAAGAATGCGTAACATTTGCTTTCATTAGAAAACAGTGGTATTAGCTGAAAAGAAATTATAGAGACTTTTATAGAAGCAATTTTATAACTTAAAGAGTTTCAGTTAATTATAATGAGCTTTTTAAGTTTTACTTTCAATTAAAATGTGAAAGAATATTAAGTGATGGTAACTTCGCAATTCTCTTTTATCTTTCTTAGTGCCTTCTTTTGAAAATCTATCTCGAAGAAATTTTGATTTTTGTTTTAAATTAACAACTTTTCTCTTTTCTTTTTTTTAAGTTGCTTGTTGTTATTAGCGTAATAGTAAATAGGGAATTGATTAACATATATTTTAAAATTTGTGGTCGATACTTAAGCTATGCAAAATTAATTGGACAGTTTGATTACATGGTATTATTGAAATGATGTATTAATGGAAAGTATGAAAAGTCAAGAAACCGCAAGAATGAAAAGTAAAAGAAGATTAAAGAGTTTTTTTATTAAGCGTAAAAAATACTAAAGACGTAAAAAAAGAATTAAAGAAGGGGTAAGTAAATAGTCATAAGTTAAAACTATAGTACTTAAAACAAAATGGATTGAAATGTAAGCTGTAAAAAAACAATCTACGTATTACATTTCGCAAAAATATCATGAGAGCGAATATTCTTCAAAAATAACTAAATCCTCATTTTTTATTCATGTTATTCATTTAAAAAAATACATTTTTCAAGTAAACTCTTTCCTTGCTTAATTTCTAAAACATTATTTTCTTTAATTTATCAACAATGAGCTTTTTTTCGATATTGACTGTAAAATCAGAATACTACTATTCACATATTTGTTGATAATGCCAACTCTCCAACTCTTTTATTTTATTGATTAATAGAAATACTCATGAAATGCTTTTCTTACGCCTCATTACTTATGAAAATACTTCTGCTTTATCTATTTGCTTTTCAAAACTATACCATACAGTTACTTGTACGAAATAAATGCTAATGGTTATATTGCTTATAAAATTTGCTGTAATAAACCCTTATGTATGATTTATAAACACGTTTTCAATAAAGTTTAGTTTTAAACTCCATTTATTTGGTACTGCTTATGCCAGGGTTGGCCAAACTTCATGTCAGTAAGAGCCGCACGTTTGCATTCAGGAATGTTCGAGAGCCGCCTCTAGATTTTCACAAGTTCATATTTACATTATTATAGAAGTAGTGGAAGAGGTTTTAAATAGAAAGAAATCCCTGATAACTTTGTAAAAAGAGTCTAAACTAATTAATTACTTTTTTTTGGACAGTGAATAGTAGTTTACGATATTTCACACACACACATATATTTTATATGCACGAGCCGCACAAATTGCCTGCGAGAGCCATATCAAGCTCGCGAGCCGCACTTTGGCCACCCCTAGCTTATGCTGTTTATGAATTCTCACAGCGTAGGCACATCAAGTGCTCTTTCACTGACATTTTTAATGCCTTCCACGTTTTTTAAAAAATTTTTTCACGTAGTATTAAATATATATTATATCCCGCTTTCCTTTCTCATTTTTTATTTGAAAAATATGCTTTACATGCCTCATCCTTAGTACAGATCTTGTAAAAGCAATGATGGTTCATTGACCATTAGGCCAATATCTTCCAAAATATAGATTAAAGAAAACAACCCACTACCAAGCGCAGTTTTGTTTGAGTCGTGAAATGTTTGATATTTTCAATTTCTTTGTATGATTAGGCAAAATTATTCATAGTTATTAGTCAACCTATAATTATTAATTAATTCTCAACAATTCTTTCGCTATATTTATTTATTCTTGCTTCATCCTCACAACGTTTTATTCTAGGAAAATCTTTATCTTTTCTTTAAATTTATGGCTATATATAACAATAAGTTGTTGCTTTAAAAATTAATTGGTTGATTGCTTTTATTGAGATGAAGCAGATGGTAGCATATGTATTTCCTATTGGAAAAGTGCCTGTGTAGAAGGTTGACTAAAGTAAACTAAATTGTATTTACGTTGCACATCGGGAAAATCATGAAAATAGCCATGCAGTCAGCTCGAAATCGGATTGAATTACCTGTGTTGATTGATTTTTACCTGCGTGGGCGCTGATGGGCCATTAAATAGATTACGATGCTAAGGGTACTTACGTCTGATATTCGATTATCGCCTCACGTAAATGTAAGAGGCAACCCCGTTTGAGATGATATTTTGAAATGTGTTGAAACTTTTCGTTCAAATTGAACTCCAAGCTGAACATGAAATTTGCTTAAATCACTTTAGAGTATTTCTACTATATATATCAGCTCTTGCAAAAGAAGCTGTAAAAGAAACTAAATTTTAGTAGAAAACTTTCTTGAGAGACGAGAACTTGAAAAATTCAGCTATCGTTATCTATCCTTCCCCAATTTATTAAGCCACTTTCTGATAAATTAATAGAGAATACATCTTAGGAAAACTTCTGTAAAAGTTTATTATCTGAACGCGTGGGAACTGCTATTTATTATTCTCACAGCCCCCTATTTTCCATGGTTTGTTATCCGGATGTGGTTATACCTCATCTTTTCTATATATCCATACTGAAAAGAGTGCACTTCACACAGTCGAAAAATTTTTTAGAAGTGGTAATTAAATATGAACAAACGATATATTTACCTTAATGACATAGAAAATGAAATAGATAGTACAAAATATAATTCTTCATCTCTTGTATCTTAAATTTAAATAAAATTATCGAATGAAGACATTGTTAGTATGAAACAATTTTTGATATTTTATGGCAAGAAATGTAACGTATATAAACGCTAACTGTATTTTTAAATAGAAATACGAATGTAAATCGGTGTAACATTAAAAGAAATCTATTTCTCCTTAAGGGTAAATTCTGAATTGCAGTTTTTTCTTTCATTAAAATGTATATTTTGATTCGGAAGAAGAATCTCTATTCATTTTCTCATTCTCAATTGAAATTTTAATAAAGCTAACTTTTAATCGAAATCATTAGTTTAAAAATTATTTTATGCCGTTTCAATAAATATACCCACATTTAATGAATTGCACAAGAAAAACAGTATTTCTAAGCCTTAAACAAGAATACTTTATAGTTCCGCAATAAATAAGAAAAGCAATTTTTCACATGAGATAAATCTGAATTTCTGAGCAGTATGTTCAAAATTTCCAATGTTAGTCCAGTAAAAAAGAACTGAAGGAAAGATTACTAAGAATTACTTTCCCTTTTTTTTTGGATTGATTTCAGTTTTAATTTATAATTTTATAAGCTCTTTCTCTTTACACATTTACTTGTATTCTATTTCATTATCAGGCTTATTACACTGAAATTTTAGGCAACAAGATCGAGAATAAAACTATTATTAAACAAAATCCTTTAATGTCAGAACTTACATACAAAGAATGAATGAGCTTATGAACTGAAGGTTTCAGTTTTATAAGCTCATTCATTCTTTGTATTTTATCTTTTTTATTCTTATTCTATAACCTACATCATTAACATGCTTATTACAGTTAAATTTAAGTTATAAAATCGCAAATAATAACCACAAAATTTGAGTTCATGGGAAACATTTAGTGATTTTTCATCATAAAATCTTTACGGATTTAAGGACTAAAACTTTCTTGTACTTCAAATTTTAGCTTTTAACTCACTGTATTAGTTGAAACAATCTCATACGACAAAATATGTTACAATTACGTACGTCAGCTTAATTTTTAAACTTCTGAAACGATTACGTGTCCTAATGATTAGATAGCTGGTATCCAACTTTGTAACATGAGAAGCTCAACTTACCTTGGCGATCATATTTAGAGGCGTTGTTTGTACTAGAAGCAGATAAGCTGGCATACCAACTCGCTGAATTGTTCGATATTTATATTAACGTCTCTACAAGGTCATCAAGGTTTGGATCGAGTGTTTAATTAAAAGCAAAAAGATCTACAACTACGTAAAATTATAAATAGAAAAAATTCGAATCGCCTCCCTGAAAAGGATATTAACTTCTGTCTCTGCCGTCTTATTCGGAGCAGGTATTGTTAAGTGATCGGCCTTCGAACAACTTTGCTAGTTCAGGCTAGAAGTAATGATGAAAGTTACCGTTATAATTATGCATAAAGAAAACGGTACTTTTTTTGTTTATTGATGTTAAGTCAGATTTACCGAAGGTTAGATAAGATGCGGAAAATGCGCACTTAAGTTGGCAGTACAAGGAAATGAAGAACATTAAAGGTGTGTTCCGGCCCTGAAAAAATTTAACAAAAAAGGAATTTTTCTTAAAAATAACTAATCGTTTAAGTGTGGGGTGTTGAATTTCTTTATGATTAAAAAAATGGTATCGTTTAGTAAACATCCAATATAATTAGGTAGATTTTGTTAAACACAGATAAGGAAACTGAAGGTTTTGACAAATTCTCTGAGGAATTTTTTTAGATGAATAACATAGTCAAAAATCTGTTCAAGTTATTTGATTGGGATCTGTGAAGCTGATTCAGAAGAGTACACATTTAGAAGCAATAAACAACTGTGCTAACAATTTGAGACAAATGCAGTTGATCACTGAAAATGTGGTTTTAAGATGAGTGATCCACTTACAAGATTTTTTTTTTTTTTTTTCGAAAAATATATTGAAGTTGCTTAGAAGTATATATAAAACCTCTCTCTATGTAAAGATATATATATATATATATATATTATCTGTAACAATAAATATAAATATTTTAAACTGTGAGTTAAATAGATTCAATTGAAGGAATGAGAATACGTAACGATGTTAGCAGCCAATTTACCACTTTTTTATTCTTAACAATATCCTACTTAATGGTCACAATTTTCTCGTACGTTCTTGATCACATTTGTAACTTTTTTACATCCTTATCTATAAACAGAAAGGTGTTTATACATTTTTAGGACGATTTCGGAGCGTTTAATTATTATTTAAAAGGTAAAGATCAGTTTCTTAAATATTCGATGTGATAGCATTCTTTTCTCGACTTGATTTCCATGATAGAAAGGCTTTTGGTAAAATTTTCGGGTACTGATTTCCATTCCTCTTGTACTATTTTCCAGAGTCCATTCATCGTGGTAGGTCTGCGCTTAGAAGCTGCTTTCAAGACATAAAAGACACAAATGCCCATTAGTGAAACATGAGGGGACTTTGCAGGAATACGTATGCAGTACCAGTATCAGTTTTCATTTTATCAAGGAATGCTATGGTACTTGTCGAATAATGACTTGTTACTTTGTCTTGATAAGGTTTCACTCTTTGAAGGTCATTGGGATAAAGAAACAGAATTTCTTCTGTAAATATCGGATGTAAAAATTTCTCTTAATAATATGTTGAGTTGATTTTAATATTTTTTCTCACTCTTTTTATTTTTAATTTCCCATAGTAAGAGAATCCTTCGAAAAATCATGAAACTCTTAGGGAAACTTTCTTTGCATTGGCGCAACCTGGTTAGTACAATAATTTTTCCTCTTCGTTTTCCATAATAAAGAGACCGTTTTCTGTTGCAGTTATTGAGGTAAATCCAACTTTCATCTAGGGTCACAATGTATTTCCATTTATTTTATTCTAAACAGTTTCCATACAGGGTTCTACAAATTATTCTACTTTGAACCACATGTCTCGGCAACAGCTGGTGAACATTATGTTCTTTAGCTTTTTTTAAGTGTTAAATCTTGGTTTATTATTTGATTTATTGTTGGCTACAGCTGTTTAAAGACTTTCCAACTGACTTCTGCGTCGGTGGATTTTCTCTTATTAACAACGATTTAACTATAAAAACATTAGAAACAGTATATTTTAACTCTAGAAACGTTGGAAACAGTACATATCGTTTTCGGGTATTCGTTTAAGTTCTCTTTTCCATGTAGAAGTAATGATCAATGGTTTTCCTTTTCCGATGAATAATATTTTGCTTATTTTACGCTTTGTTTTAATAGCATGCATTTCACAACGTTTTTGAATTATGGAATAGAAATATTTCTTTTCGAAAAGAACAAAAACATATCCTTCAGTCCACAGCTTGTTTGCATGCGACATTTTGAAAGAAAAATTAATTTAAAAGTAACAGACTGTATTTCTCATTTCATATAATAAGATATTGCCAGAAATTGTGTAGAGATATTAGGTTATTTTAAGTAGGATACATGGAAAACGTGCAATGCCTTCGCCGAGACTCGAATTCTGGACCTCCCGAATACGCGCCGAGTGTGCTACCGTTACACCATGAAGGCACGCAGAAAGGAGGGAGAAAATACCTTATAATTGTTATTCAAATACATTAGCTTTTCTTTTAATTCTTTATCAAAATCTGCAAAAAATGTGTAAATACCCTCTGTAATAACGAAGCAACAAGACTGAGGGAAAATGCGCAGATTCCAAGTGGAAAGTTAGATTAAGGTTGAGTCACTTTTGTCTGGATTTTGGTTAATTGCTAAGGCTTTTAATTCACAAATTTTAACTGATTATCCCTTGAAGCGTTGTGTGTTTATCTTCGTCGTCATTAATATTACCTAAGAGTCATACGTCAAGCTGAAGTAAATTAATCAGCCGACATGAAGCTATTAACGGTACACAACAGCGGCAGCATATTAAGAGAACAAACCAGAGCCTGCCCCTGACCGTTATTATGGAGAGTTACATTTCACAAAAATGCTTGCTCGAGAATGGCCTGAACACACCAAGCTTTCGGCTTTGTTTCCATGAGTCAGGACTAATCATTCGTGAATGTACAAGGGCAGATCTAAAAGAATATGGCACAAGCTCCTGCTAGTTATTCAATAATCTTTATACCACCTTTAAGCTTATCATTTCAGACTCAAAATCATAAGAACTTATTACATCCAAAAAATTTTTTAATTCTGTAAAACAGAACAAGCATCGAATTAAATGGCAGGAATATTAAAGTAGTTAAAGAATTAAAATACTTGTGCTTATTTTGAGAACTGAAACTCACGTGGATACCACACATTACTGAGCTCAAATCCCGCATGCTTGCACTCCCCCCAAAACTGAAACAACTCTAAGGTACTAACTGGCGTCTCAACACCCCACCAACCGTAGTCTCATTAAAAATCTTTACACCGCAATCATAAAAAAAAAAATAAAATAAAATAAATAAAATAAAATAAAAAAAATAAATAAATAAATAAATAAAAAATCACATATGCAGCAAAATCTTGAGCATTGTCGAAACATTAAAAAGCCCTTTAGCCTCCAATTTCTCTTTTGCACTAATAATCACCAAGGTATATAGGACTATAGCAATGGCTGCTTTAAACATCCTGATAGATCCTATAACATATTCGAGCAGGAAAAAATGGATATCATCAGCTCACTAAAGAAACGTACCCAGTACCAGCTCGGCACTACAGCAACCTCTAGCGATGAAAGTTTATTTTCAAACCTTTGTTAACTTATAACACCACAAGCCGTATCTATCCCGTAATAAAACATGGGACCAATCAAATCCACATGGGACCAATACAAGGTGTTCATAAATATTTACCTGATTACAAAAAATGATTGCTTGTGATTGTGCACACATGCATTGAACATCAAATTCATAAATTCTCAAAGTTATATTGAAAACATTTAATAACCTTTACATGCTACATTATTAAAGAAAGAAATCTAGGGGGTATATGCTAGGAGTAGGGTATGGCATGAAACTGAATACTCACTCGATATTTTGCATTCTACCAGGGATACACATTTGGGAGTATATTAACCTCTTTGTCGTCCATAACGCGTCTAGCGCGTTCAAGTGAAACTTCCACAGGGCGGCCGTAACGCGCCTCAACCGTTCTTCTACATTTTAAAACTTTTAAACGTTTAAAACGCTTTCTAAATGTTTATTTGTTTGAGTTTTTATTTTTGTTTGTTCTAATACCTCCGAGAGGGTAGCACTAATCAGGCATTCTATTTCTAATTGAATTTGCCCCGGGTTTTATGAATATTCGCGCCATTTTACATAAGATACAAGACAGTGAGAGATGGCTTCAACGTCTACTCAGCAGAAAAAGAGAAAAAAATTAGGTTATGAACTGGAAAGAGAAGAAGGTTGTAGAGTTGCGCGCCTCCAACCTGCACGCAACCAAGAGGTGACTGTTGAAACTGGAAAAGAGACAGAGTCTTGCTAAGGGTTTAAGTCCCTTTTTATTCAACTTAAGACATTACAATTGCGTGCTCTTGACGCTCACAAACAACGCCGACCCGGCGGTAAAATAAAAATGAGAACCTGAAAAGAAATAATAACAAGACTCTAACTACGAGGCTCTCTAAAAGTAACTACCTCACCGCGTTTTACAATACCGCTGCTAATTCAGCAAACTTTGAATATCACGTTGAACGATTAACAATTCTCCGAGGCAAGCACACAGGCCGAAACGCGGGGTTCTTCAATTTCTGGCTAACTACCTCTGCGCTCGTGAAGTAAGAACAGCACACCTCGAACTCGTTTCCTTTCTATTTAACTCAGAATACTTCCGCTGATAATTTGAATCCTTGCGCGTTCTACTAAAATTTACATACTCTGGCATTGGCAGTTCCAGGGCAAAGTAAGGCTTGACAGGAAAGATAGTTTAAACTTAAAATAAATGTTAGTTAAAATAAATATAAACCCTACAAGGTTATACGTTTGATGAGTATAGTCCATAACAACTCGATGATTGGTGTTGCAACACGGAAAAGAACTGTAAAAAAAACAATAATTGTAAAAGATTACAACAACAAAATGGGAGGAGTTGACCGCCTGGATCAGATGTTATCAAATTATCCTGCTGTTAGAAATAAGCAGGGATGTTATTATTTTTCCATTATGCTTTATTTACTTATAATTTTACTTAATATTCATTGGCATTCATCCACTACGAAAGTCATGTATGGAAAGTTATGATGTACAGAGAAAACAACATTACTCTCTACGTAAAATAGATGGGGGTAA